ATAACAAAATTGTGCATGAAAAATACAATACAATGTCCAAATAAATGTGCAATCTGGCTGAAAATTGTGTTCTGATTTGAAAGCAAATGTCAGATTGGGACAGTCCACTGGAAAAAGCAGATTGAATGACTTTTCCTCCATCCCTAGATGGAGGCTCAGAAAACAGTAGCATGAGGGCATTGTCTTCACCCATTTACCTCATCTCTGGGGGACTTGAAGAAGGGCCTTAACAGAAAATCTTAGTGTATGAGGAGGTTGCTGTGGGACATAGTTACTTACTCTTATCTGTCACATATTTTATCTCAGTCATATACAAGTCCTGCAGCCCTGTTATCAACCCATTTTGTGCTGGTACCAATGAAGCTTTTCTCAATATATGAGTACCCACACCTGTTTTTTCACATACCCTAAAGCACTAATAATCTGTTTTGTGTGTGTGTTTTGTATGTATTTCAGTCATTTGAAATAAGATCTGCAGTTTAAAAGGAAATGCAACACATTGAATCATAGCAGAGAAGCTTGTCTCCCTGCTCAGTCTGCTGTCCAGGTGCAAACTATTGATGAGCAACTTCAAGGCCTCGACTCGCCCTACATCTCATTTGTCTCTGTTGGAACGGAATGGTGGGAGATTTAGAACTGTTAAAGAAAGTTCATTGCTAAAGTATGGAATTTGGTACCACAATATGTAGTGAATACTACTAAGTGGCTTTAAAAGGAGGGTTAGGCAAATTCATGGAGAATAAGGCTAGCCTAGACAACGGCTACTAGTCATGATGATTGTACCCAGGATCAGAGACAGAATGCCACAGAACACCAGCTGATGGAGGGCAAAGAGCATCTAAGGGCTTTGTCCATAGACATCTGGTTGACCGCAATGGTCTTGGGATTCTGGATTCAATAGGCCTGATCCAGTTCTCATAAAACTCATGCTGGTATGATGTACCACCATGTGGTGTACAGAAAGGGGGGAGCAATACATGCAAACTTGTATAGGATTATGATCCATTATGCAACAAAAGAAAATATCCATGTGGCCATTATATTGGTGCTTCACAAGAATGTTTATGTTTATTATGAGTATAGAGAAACTTGTCTTTCAGATGATTAGTAGCATTTTTTTAAAGCTCTTAATAGACACAAATAAGACATTCTAACAGCCTTTAAGCCATTTGGCTTATTTATATGTTGAGAGAGGATAAGTTCTATTTTGTAAACAATGCAATAAGAATAAAGAATACAATATATAATAAGGTGTGACAGACAAAGAAATAGTGAAACCAGAGGGCACTGCAGAGCAACCAGGAACCAGCAGTAGGAAAACTGTGTTTTGATGGGCAAAAATAAGGTAAGGAATGTTTTTATTTTACCAAATAAAATAAATAAAATTAAATTTAAAAATTCCTCCCAGTAGCACCAGTAGACCAACTAAGTTAGTTATTGGTATGAGCTTTCGTGTGCATGCACACTTCTTTATTTTACCAGCATACTCTATGATGTTTTAGAACAATATATCTAATATCATTCTAATAATGTTAAAAAGGTCAATGTAGATCCAGCCCTTGGTCTTTCCTGATGTTCTTTAAGAATGCACGCAGAAACCCTGAGATTTTCTAGAAAATCTTGGGAAGATGAGCTACTTAACAGGTGACATAGGGCTGGAGTTCCTGGTTTTCATCATCATCCTCAAAAGTAACTGAATCAGCCCACAAGGCCTACTATATTTATTCAGATGGCTTATATATTTTGCAGGTGTATTTCAAGCCTCAGTCGGGTGAAGCTGATCTCATCTACAACATATACACGTTTGCCAACCCTGTGTGAAGATGATGCATTTGTTACTTTTCATCTGCATGAGGTTAAGATAAAAGGAACATAATCCTTCAGCAGACAGTATATAGCACCATTTGAGAAGGGAGGATCTTTTTTTTAAGCCTCTCTTTTCACATACTCATTGAACTGTGTTCCTCAAAGCCTGTCTGTCATCACATACAGCCAGAGCAACCTGAGAGAGCCTTGGCTGATATTCTCACTGTGGTTTGCACTCTGCGCAGAAAGGATGCCTGCAGCAAAGTGCTTGTCTTTCTTCTCTTTTGTTTTCATTTGGTTATTTCCTTCATCTCAGATCCTTTGTGTAGCGGACCCACCACTTAATACCACCAATTAATAATGTGGCGGATCTGCTAACTGCCCCCAATTAAATATAGTGCACCCACCTCACGGTATACCAATTACACATTATTCTACAATTTACCACATATTATCTAGTGGGGGACTTGTGTGAGGGAAGACTTAATGATTATAGTCTCAGGCAGAAAACAAACAAACAAACAAACAAACAAACAAACAAACAAACAAACAAGAAAAGTTCATTAAACAAAAAGAAGGTTATGAAATGAAGTGGGTCTGGAAATGCAATCTTTCAGGTAGAAGTTAACTTATTTACTTTAACTATAGGATGTCTCAGGCTTAAACACAATGTTACAGTGACAGCTTTTCTTAACCTCTCTTTACTCAAAACCAGTTGTTATACTTCAATTTCTGTTACTTAGTTATGACAGGTGGTTCTTTTAAATACTCTTATTACAACACAGCTTCCTTCACAGCTTAATGCTTTGGTTCATGAGCGGGGGGCACTTCTTCTCAGTTAACCCTTCTCCTAACCATCCCACCCCTGAGCTATTCCAAATGGTATAACAGACCCAGGGGATCCCCTCACCCCTTGCCACTGGGTCGAGAGTCTTCAGTACCTAGAAGACCTCTCCCTTCCTGGCTAGACTGAGACCCAGGGAGCCTGAATTCCCACAGGATCTACCTCTCCCAGCTCAGACTCAGCCCTCTTAGGACACTCCTGTCTGTATTCCTTTCCCAGACCCTCAACCTGATCTCCCTCTTGAAGCTGTGAGGCTCTGTCCTCTCACTATGGATAGTCTCCTCAGCATGTATGTTTAACTTCACTCAGAACCAGTTCTCCTTATCTCACTCCCTATTTCCCAACTCCAATCAAACCCTATCTCTTAAGCTGAACCTTAGCCCTATCTCAAAACCAAACCCTATCTAACCAACTCCCTCAGAAACGGCTCCTTTTATATCCCCCTCAAAGTGCTGGCTCCACCCCCTCTGTGGCCAACTGACTCTGTAGCCAATCAGAGAGAGGCTCCAGCCCTCGGGTGGAGTTTCAGAGGAACTGCATCACCAAACTCTGGTCTGACTCTGCTGTCCGTCACACTTTGCTGAAATTATTTTAACCATATAAGGTCCTTCATAGTGCTATCAAAATCATAGAGCTGACAGCTGACAACACAAGGATGTGGCTGTTCATTAACAGATCTGCAGTGAACTGCTTCCCTGTTGCCTTGTTCCTGTCAAAAGGCCAGTTTTCCAAGCCCCATAATGACCATGCTGGTTTGATCGTTGCTTTCCAAAAGGTGGCCCCATGTCTTACTTTACAGAACTCTGTTTGAAGGTTGTCAAAGGACCATCCTCTGTTCTTAAGGGCTCGCAGGTGGTGCTGTGGTCTAAACCACTGAGCCTAGGACTTGCTGATCAGAAAGTTGGCGGTTCAAATCCCCGCAACGGGGTGAGCTCCTGTTGCTCGGTCCCTGTTCCTGCCAACCTAGCAGTTCAAAAGCACGTCAAAGTGCAACTAGATAAATAGGTACTGCTCTGGTGGGAAGGTAAACGACGTTTCCATGTGCTGCTCTGGTTTCGCCAGAAGCGGCTTAGTCATGCTGGCCACATGACCCAGAAAAACTTGTCTGCGGACAAACATCAGCTCCCTCAGCCAGTAAAGCGACATGAGCGCCACAACTGCAGAGTCGTTCACGACTGGACTTAACGGTCAGGGATCCCTTTACCTTTTGTAAGTTACCACCAGACCACAGCCTCCTTAACATGTTCCGTGATATATGGCACCCGAAGCATAGTGTATGTGGGTGAAGAGAGAAAGTGACTAGACTGATTATTTTTTAAGTGTGTAATGTTGGTACGCAATGATTCCCCTCTGTAGGTGTCTACTGACTTCTCTATACAAGGAACCCTATTTCATCCTTGAGAGTGGTCTTGGGAACTGTAAAGCAGAGTTCTCACAGAACTTCTATGGCAGAAGCTGTGACAACTAAGCTGACAGTTAAGCAGTATATGTTTTCAGTAGAATTATACCTTTAGGCTGTACCTGAACCTGGAGCCATGCAGCTGCTGCTTCAGGAGAAAAGAAGGGAGAGAGAGAGAGAGAGAGAGAGAGGGAGAGGGAGAGAGCGAGAGACAGGGGTGGTAAAGGAAAGACCCTAATCATGATTGTTCAATGCATCCAGTTTGGTTCAGTTTCTCATGTACAACTGATCCTGTTCAATCCTTTCATACATGATAGGCTGAGCTGAGAAAGAAACTTTCAAAAATCTGACACCACCCTTCTCACACACAGGTCCACACAGCAATTTCTGGTAGCACTGGCTCTCCAACATAATGTCTGAAGGAACCAAAAGAACGTAGGCACAAACTTTCTGAGCTGACCTTGCAATAGTTCAAAAAGCATCTGTTGCTCCAATGAGGAAATAACACTGGTGGATGTACACATGCTGTCCTCGCTCCCCCAGTTTGTCTTCTGAACAGCTCTCTTGCCTAATCCACATGTAGTTTTGAAATAAGAAGGATTTAAACAGTAGTTACAGTTTCTGGGAATGGGGAAGTATACCTTCTGAAACAGCTACATCAACAGAGCCAGTTCAAGACATTCAGCTGCCTGAGGCGATGGACAAGAATTCTGGTTAGCATAAAAGCTGACCAGACTGGCAGCGGCATTTCAGCACTGGGGACAGGACAGCATCCTCTACTGTGACAAAGGGCAGCAGACTAATTCAGCTCTGTTGGCTTCCTACCCCTCCGTATCTGCCTCACAAGGAACATGGGATGCTACTGAGTCAGACCATTGGTTCACCTAGCTCAGTACTGTCTACTGTTGTTCACTGGCAGCAGCTCTCCATGGTTTCTCTCTCAGCACCACCTGGGAATGCCAGGGGTTGAACTTGGGACCTTCTGCATGCAAAGCATATTCTCTGCCGCTGAGCTAGGGCCCTTTCCTACTCTGCTTTATGGTAGGGCCACTATTATAAATCAACTTATATCAGGAAACTGTCTCCTCCTTGTGGCATTATTGACCAGACTTTACCAAAATATCCTCTCTTGCTTACCTGGGTTGCGAACATGACACCCATGGACACATCTGCACCTACAGAGGCCTTTGCGGGTGTCCTCTGCCCTCCCTATGAAGTAGGCTTAAAAGAAGCAGGCTGTAGTAGCTAATAGAACAGGTTGTGGTGCGTGCTTGGCTGGGGGTATGTGGGTAGTGCCCATGGCAGTTTATTTGGTTTGCAAATGTGCAAATAGGTCCAAAGAGATTCACAACCTGTGATCTAAGTATCTTTACTCAGAAGTAAGTCCCACTGAGTTAAATGATAATTAAATAAGTGTGCATTAAAAAGGAAACGAGTGATTCTACCCTTGTTTGCCTCATTTTAGGTACTTTTATCTTGATAATGCTTGCAACCAATTTCAAAACATTTTCTTTGTTGGGGAAGACAAAAAATATTTACCCCATATTATCAGAACCAACTGCCTGTAAAATGTTTGTTATTATAATCATTCTTGGTCTAGTCTTTAGGGCTTGGCAAAGGAGGTAACTGAAATCATCAGAATATTATGTTTTGTTTTGCACTGTTTTCATTCTACAAATGATGAATGTTTATATTCAGTATTTGTTAAAAATATGTATTACAAGTCTCTCATGATGATTCCCCCCCCCCCCCCGAGCTTTTTCTATCTTGGCAGATTCACTGCTGGTGAAAACAGAAATTACAGATTCTGAGTAAATTTTACAAAATTCTTTTAGCTGAGACAGATATCTACTTACCTGTGTAGGTCTTAAACCCTTAGCTTATGAAAATTCATGATTCATCTTTCCCTATTGTCTTGGGGTGCTCCCTATTTCCTTGCCCCTGTCCTTGTTATTAGGACACACACACAGAGAGAGAGAGAGAGAGAGAGAGAGAAACAGAGACGTGTGTGTGTGTGTGTGTGTGTGTGTGTGTGTGTGTGAATGACAAGGGATATAATAAACCATCATTATCTGTTCTACCCTCTATTCTTCACATATAACACTGTTTCTGTTTTTCTGCAGTTCATCTTCCACCAAAGACCTATGTTAATCATTCACTGTTCACTCTGCTGAAATTATCTAATTTATGTAATTATCATAATTATATTACAGTATCATTACATTATTCCATCCCATTCATTTCAGTGCAAAGGAAAACACAATGCAAATAGGGGGAAATGTAATCACTTATTTATCATTCACAGACTGAAAGCAAAAACAACCGCAAACACCAATTGTGGACATGGGATGAATAAACAAACACCAGCAATTTCCATGTCTGTTTCCATTTTCATCGGAATTCTACAACATCCCTAATGACAATTTCTCTTGTTGGGGTGTCAAAACACATGCTTCTTAATAGATATGCATATGATAGCACTGTAAATTTCCAGTCCTTTTGATTGTGAGTTCAAAGGGAAAAAAATTCTTCAAATAAAGTAGACCAGCAATTTATGTTGGAGTTAACATTCAAAACATATTGGGTGCTATGGTGGGTGGGGTTGCCAAACATTTTTTCCCCTGAATGCTCCTTCTTATTTTTTATTTTTTTGCTAAGTTCATAAAGCTGAATGCACACAAGTTCAATGTGCTTAAGTTGTGGGTCAACTGTATTACAGACGATGGACAGTATGAGGAGGAGAGTTCTTACTTGAGGCATTTCTTGATTATTTCATAGTTTTCCAGGACATGTTGTTGTTGTTGTTGTTGTTGTTTAGTCGCGTCCGACTCTTCATGACCCCATGGACCAGAGCACGCCAGGCACTCCTGTCTTCCACTGCCTCCCGCAGTTTGGTCAAGGACATAGGACATAGCAGGTTATTAACTGGAGAAAGGAGTGAGAAGGAAGAGTAGCCAAGTTTGTAGAAGATATTCCTGCCAGTGAAAATCAAGAAACACTATGAAGACCTCTAGAGAGATCTAAACTGGGTGATCTGACAGCAAAATAACAAAATACAACATTGTGACAAAAAATAATAATCTAATTTACATATTCACTGTTTGGCTCTGAACTAGTGGCTAACCAAGACAAAGATCTTGAAGTTCTGGTGGAAAAAACAACTGACAAGGTCACAGGAACCATTGTCTGTTGTTTTTCTTACTCTCGAGGACCTTTGTTTTAGTTGGATAGTTTGGTGAAAAAAGTGGTTCACTTTGCAGCAGCTGTAAAAAAGACATATTCTGTGCAAAGAATTATCAGGAAAGAGACTGAAAAACACCCCTGCCAATTTTATATTAGTGTTATGCAAATACATGGCTCAGCCATATTGGATGTCAATGTTTGTTTGGACCTTACCATTCCCCCCACAAACCTGTGGTTCTTGCCTGCTCATCTTTGTTACCCTCTCATTTGCTCCAGCCTATAAAAGTCCACAGAAAAGGTCAAGCAGAATGATCAGAATAAACCGTTTGAGTTTTGTTTTGTTTTGCTTGTTTGCTTGTAGAACTGAGATTAGTTTGAATGGTAGTAGATTCAGGGCAGACAAAAAAAAAAGAGTACTTCTTCACACAGTTCATGTTTAATTTATGGAATTCAGGGCCTCAAGATGTAGCCATGGCTTGCAGATTAGATGGCTTTCAGTGGGAAGCAGAAACAATCATGAAGTTTAGCAATGGCTGCAGTTCAGAGACAGTGTGCCATTGAGTACCAATCACTGGGAAGCAGCAATGGGAGAGGGCTATTGCCTTCATGCATGCCCTACTTGTGGGCTTACCAGAGGAATCTAGTTGACTTCATTGGAGAATTGGATGCTGGGCTAGATGAACCCTTGGCTTTATCCAGAAAGGCTCATCTGATATTGGTGTAATTATTTGGGGGGGGGGGGTGAGACCTGATTAATTTTCTCCAGTACATCAGGAGAAACCCATGGCTCATCTCAAGCAAGTTCCCACCTATATTCTATTTATAACTGATTACTGATTTGTTATGTATATTACAATAAAATTTGATGATATGCAAAGTAGCAGAGTAGCTTACAGCTGGGAAGCTAAATAACTCTTCTAGGTGATTGATAGCTTCTTTGTAAAGGCTATACAATGTCCAGATTCTTTATATTCAAAAGAACTTTACTTTCATTAACATATAACTAAGAAGAATATATTTACAATCTCATGCTTATTCAAACATGGGTGCATTGTCCCCATCTTCAAAAAGGGGGGAAAGGAAGACCCAGGTAACTACTGAGCTTGACATCGATACCAGGGAAGCTCCCAGAACAGATAATTCAACAGTCAGTCTGTGAGCATTTAGAAAAAGATGCTGTGATTACTAAGACCCAGCATGGGTTTCTCAGAAATAAGTCATGCCAGACTAATCTTTCTTTTTTTGATGGAATTACAAACATGGCGGATCAGAGAAATACTGTAGACATAGTGTATCTTGATTTCAGTAAGGCATTTGACAACGTTCCCCATGATATTCTCATGAGGAAGCTGGTGAAATGCGGGTTGAATGAGGTAACTGTGAGGTGGATATGTGGCTGGTTGACTGACAGAACCCAAAGAGTACTCATTAATGGTTCTTCGTCATCCTGGAAAAAAGGAACAAGTGGGGTGCCACAGGGTTCTGTCCTGGGCCTGTTGTTGTTCAATGTCTTTTATAAATGACTTGGATGAAGGAATTGAGGGGATGCTCATCAAATTTGCAGATGACACCAAACTGGGAGGGGTTACTAATGCCGCAGAAGACAGAATCAGAATTCAAAATGACCTTAACAGATTGGAGAACTGAGCACAAGCTAACAAAATTATTTGCAATAGGGACAAATGTAAAGTTCTGCGCTTAGGCAGGAAGAACCAGATGCACAAATATAGGATGGGGGACATCTGGCTTTCCAGCAGTACATGTGAAAAGGATCTAGGGGTCTTGGTGGGCCACAAGGTTAACATAAGTCAATAGTGTGATGCAGCAGCAAAAAAAGGCTAACCCTATTGTAGGCTGCATCAACAGAAGTATAGTGTCCAGATCAAGGGAAGTAATAATCCCACTCTATTTTGCCTAGGTCAGACCACACCTGGAATACTGTGTCCAATTCTGGGCTCCACAGTTTAAGAAGGATGTTGACAAGCTGGAATGTGTGCAGAGGAGGGCAACCAAGATGATCAAGGGTCTGGAAACCAAGCCTTAAGAGGAAAGATTGAAGGAGCTGAGTATGCTTAGCCTGGGGAAGAGGAGACTGAAAGGTGATATGAAAGCCATCTTCAAATATCTGAAAGGCTGTCACATCAAAGAGGGAGCATGACTATTGTCTCCTGCTCTGGAGGGTACTAGAGGCAATAGCTTCGTGTTACAAGAAAGGAGATTCCGACTAACCACTTGGAAAAACTTTCTGGTGGTCAGAGTTGTTCGGCAGTGGAACAGACTCCCACAAATGGTGGTGGACTCTCCTTCCTTGAAGGGTTTTAAGCAGAGCTCAGATGGCCATCTGCCATGGATGCATTGCAGGGGGTTGGACTAGATGACCTTGGGGTCCCGTCCAACTCTAAGATTCTGTGATTCTATGATAGACTACAATTTTTCTGTGTTCTGTCAAACAGGGCCAAATGTCTTACTCCTTTATAATGAACATGATACTCTGGTTAAAAATATGTCTACAGCATTGAACTTGAAAGTGTATTTCAGGCCTCTCCACAGAATAGGCCTGGCTATTTCAAGTTTGATCACATTTTACTAACTCAGGCCCACTAACTCCTGCTTCAAACCATTTGAAGCTTACAAATGAGGTCTGGTAGAAAGGGATACCTTGGAGAGAGAGAAAACCATGAGGACCCAGACTCAGCAATTTGCTGAACTGCTCTCTAAAGTGGGATCAACAGGAAAAATAAGAGAAATTCACTAGGTTTTAGACATGTGGTGATCAATTTATGCATCTCCAATTGTGCTGCTGTTTTCTTGCTGTGATGACCTATTTGGGAAATAATTC